TCCGATCACACCACAGGGCACCGGCTTCCTGGCTGTGCAGTCAGTAACAGGAACCAAAGTAAGTTTTAGTTCAACCTATTACTGCAGGTGCATCATGTAACAATGATGAAAACAAATCCAGGTTGTAATAGAAGAGAGAACATTGTAGTTGTATAGTCATACATTGGAAATCTAAATGATTTACATGATATTGATTAAGAGCTCTTGGGAAGTATTGCATTGCCTCCTATCTGCCTATTTTCTCTTTGCAGGCTAATTTCCGCATAGCCGCCACAGGAGTCATCCTGGACCTGGATAAATCAGTGACTATAGTGAAAAAGCTCAAGCTGATTGGTTACCCGTACAAGATCTTTAAGAACACCTGCTTCGTTAAGGTATGGGAGGCTCATTTCATCTGCTGCTCATCTTTGACGACTGAAAGATGTCTGAAGTAAATGTGGTTCTTCAGTACAGCAGGAAATGTCAGACAGATATCATGTGCTCCAGCTTTCATGCTACTATTCTACCTCTCATAAGAGTAAGCTGTCTTGGAATAAATAAACTCATACACATCAGTGAAAACACAACATTTAATAAAGAAAATCACATGTAGAAACACTGACCTGAACACAATATTCAGTATTTACTGTAGGTTCAGCTGTGAAGGGCAGGGGGATTTGGTTTCCTGTGTTGTATTTGATGCTGTTGCTTTGTTTTTCATTCAGAAGGCACGGCAGTGTGAAGAAGAAGTTGTGTAATAATAGAAGTCCTTGTGCGGAGTGTTTTGACTGACCTCTCTCACTGTGTTCTCAGGGCATGTTCAGTACAGTGCTGGAGGTCGCAAAATTTGAAGGTGCTTCCGTGCGAACAGTGTCAGGAGTCAGAGGTCAGATTAAGAAGGCGCTGTCGACGCCACCAGGAGCTTACAGAGCCACGTTTGAGGACCGCCTGCTCATGAGTGGTGAGTGACACCTGCCTACTGGGTAAACTGGGATTTGTGAGGGAACCATTATCCAATGTTTGGATTTGGTTTGAAGTTCAGCAGGTCGTCTTGACCATGTCTACATGCTTAAATGCACTGAGTCACTGCGTGTAACTGGCTGATCAGATATTTGCGTTACTGAGCAGTTGAACCTGAAACAAACGGCTGGTGAGTTTATTTCTTCATCGTATCAGTGAGTTGGTTTTGCCTTATCCCTTGTTTAGACTACTACTTCATCTGTTTAGTTGAACAGTGGCTTTGTGTGACATCAGTAAAGCACTAGAACAGTCTGTAAAAAGTGCATGAACATTGGTGGAGATTCAACTCAACTCAACTTTATAAAGCTCTTTAACACAACAAGTCAAAACAAAGTGCTGAACACAAAATATAAAACAATTTAAAACATCTAGAAAATAAAATAACTTAAAAAAACAATTCACAAATGTCTTTCCATTGAAAAATGTAAGTTGACCTGTAAAGTTTGATGCATAAGTTAAGATACAAATGCAGGTTTACAGAAATTGATGATTTTAAAAGGGGCTATGAATGCATACCTCAGGTCTTCAGAGACTCACGCTACATTACATGAGAGTCTAATTCCTTCATTTCATTCAATGAAGCATTCATCTCCCTGGTATTCCTCATACAACAATGTTCTGGTGGCAACAAAAAGGGAGGTCCAACTTCCAAAAGCTGACAGAAGCTCTGAAAGTGTGTAGTTTTCCCAGAATCTGAATCTTCTTAGCAAAAAAAAATTCCCTCTAAAATGCTCAGGATCAGTTTGTCTGTGCTCAACTGCAGTGAAACGGTGAGCCCACAATAACCAGGCTTCAATAAGTACAAGTATGCGACTGTTACTTTATGTCTTTAATGTCTGTTGTTTTGCGTGGCAGACATCGTGTTCCTGCGCTCCTGGTTTCCAGTGACTGTTCCTCAGCTCTACAACCCCGTTACCTCTCTGCTGCTGCCTGTGGGCCAGAAGG